CAGGACGCGAACCGCGGTCGACTACGTGGGAGTCCAGCAACATAGCCATTATGCTAACTGCTGGTTCTCCCAGCACAAAGAATCTTGACAACAAAAATACATTGTTGTTTTCCAGAGATACTTTTGTTTTGTTTTGCTAGATGGCATGTGCATTCACTTGAAAGAACAGAGAGAGGGAAGGAGGGAGAGATAAAATGTGCACGGAGGCTTGAAAGTACCCTCTGTGGAGGATGGCTATGCCACAATTCCTTTTTCTTCTTCGTTTCTCCTTTTGAAATGTTGGGCATGCACACACACGCCTCATGTGTTTTTCTAGTCATTGGTCTGGGACTTGAACTGCTCTGTCATCCATGTGGAGTCCTGGTGCCTTTATCACCACGTTACCAGCTGGCCCAAGATAATTATTTTTCTGTGCATCCTTGTTGTAACTTTTTCTCTGGTTATTTAAAAGGATGGGGAGGAGAGTTGAATTTTCATAAGTTAGATTGCAAACTAACTGGTGTATTTTAACATTAATCAGTTACTTTTTCTTTTAGCCTGTCAAATTAGCTGTGGTTTGCAGAGATGGTCAAGTCCATCTTTTTGAACACATATTAAATGGGTAAGTAAGAAGTTTTTCAAGTGAATTTTATTTCTCTTTCCTTGACTTGTCATTTGTTCACATTCTAACCTCGTTATTGATTAGATTACAGTCGAATTAGATTGTTTCAAAAGCATTCTTTATCCATATGAGTACATAATTCTGGCAAGAACTCAATTTTTAAAGTCATGGGCCATTTTTTCATGTATCTGTGGTTTAGAGAGTGTTTTTTAAAATTTATTTATGGTTAGTAAATACTGATGTTACAATGATAAATGTTAGAAGAAAGAGGCTTGCTCAGAGATTTCCTTGTGAACTTTGATGCGATGCCTTGATCTTTAGTCTTGATGTTGGTTTACTTCCCCTTGCCACACTGCTGTGCATCAGTAGTGCATGGCAGTCTTTTGTTTTGGTAGTGAGAGTAAGTGTTGTTGTATAGCCATTGACCAGGGGTCACTAAACTGGCCTGCAGGACGCATCCAGTGATGATCATATGTGGACTGAAAAACTTGACAAGTATTATCTAGCCCTTTACAGACAGAGTTTGCCAGATCTTATCAAGTACTGGAAGGATGCCTTGAGCCTCAATTACATGCACAATTATGGTATACTTAAAAATGACTTTAACTTTTTTATTGTCACTATTAAAATAATACTAGCATAGGAATTTACATACAAATTAATTCTGAAAATAGTATGTACTTTTGGTTTGTTATAGGGTATGTGTACTTGCCAGAGTTAGAGAGAGAGAGAGAAAGCACTTTCCCCTCCAGGGGAGATGGCCATACAGCAATCCTTTCTTAGACTTTTATTGGGATTTTGGGCTCGCTTGCACAGGTGCCCAGCTGCTGGGTCAGGGACTTGAGCTGTAGTCAGCCACGTAGGAGTCCAGTGCCTTAACCACCAAGCCACCTGCTGGGCCTAGTTTTATATACTTTTAGTCTGGTTGTGTAGACAATCTGTTGTAAAATCCAAGTCTCCCTCCATCGAGTTCTACTCCCAGAGTTAACTGTTACATTTTAGTGTGTAACAGTTGAGACTTTTAGTACATAGTAGTATGTGTATGGAATGTATAGTTGAGGCTGAGAGAAGGTGGCAGCAGCAGTGGGCCATGGTGAGGACTTGAGTAGTTCTCCTTTGGAAGTGGTAAGCGATTGAAGGATTTTTAAAAGCAGAAAATTGATGGGCTTTCCAAATTACTCTGACATTGAGAATAAACTTTAGAGAGATGCACTTATAGTCTTGGGTCTGGAGAAGTCGGGGAGTCAGGATACTAGAAGGAATGAGTTGGAAAGACAGGGTTAGTGGAACGCTTAACATTGTAGTCATGAAGGGTGTGCACTTACTGGGAATGAGTGTAGAGAAGACGTCTAGGGTGTGAGGAGTTTGGCTGAGATAATAGCAAAGGGCATGATCATTGGAGGTAGGAACTGAGGGACTAGAGTGTCAAAGCTTTGTTACTCCGGATCCTGGGTATGAAACTCCTAAGAAGGCTTGAGTCCATTGGGAGCAGTGTTGCAGAGAATGACAGTGAGCCACTGGAATCTTCCTAACAGGGTGGGACAGAGGGACGGGTAGGTCTCAAGGTCAGTTTTGGTGGCGAGGGTTTGAGTGTTGGTGGGAGTAGGTGAGGTCTTGAAAGGTTGTGCTCTGGGACCCTGGTCATTCTTTTTTAGTGTGGAGGCTAGAACAAGGTCTTATTTCATGCCTTGATACCAACTTCAGAAATTTAGTATTAGATGCTATTTCAAATTCTCTAAATCTTCTTTCCCCCATTTGTAGGTACTGCAAAAAGCCCTTGACTTCAAACTGCACAATTCAGATAGCAACACCTGGGAAAGGCAAGAAATCAACACCAAAACCAATCCCTATTCTAGCAGCTGGGTTTTGCTCAGACAAAATGTCCTTGTTGCTTGTATATGGCAATTGGTTTCAGCCTGCTATTGAGCGAGTGGTACGTAGATGCTACTCTGGAGTAAGACACTAGAGCATTAACATGTCTGTGAAAAACAATGGTTTTAAAAGTGCTGTGCTGGTTTACTCATTATAATATTTAAAAAGAAATGATATATTCTCTTTTAATTAAAGGACCATGTGCTGGGTGGTTTAATTTGTGAAAGCTCAGCTCAACTTTTCCAAAATACTGTTTTACTACCTAATTAATTGAAAGCATTGTGGGAGGTATTTAATGCCCCCTCTTCCTTTCTGGTGTTACATCTTGGATATCTGGTGTGTATTTTACACTTACAGAACATCTCAGTTTGGACTAGCCACATTTCCAGTGCTCAGTAGCCACATATTCCTAGTGGCTACTGTTTTGGTCAGCACAGGTATGACTTCTGTTGACTTTTTTTCAATTACACAAAGTATAACTCTTACTAATGAGAGAGAGCCCTTAGTAATAGTACCCATTGGATTTTCTAAGGGGAAATGTAATTAATGGGCAGTGCAATGATTGAACATTTTTTACTGCAGAAGTTTCTTTTAAGACTTGTGAGTTATAATGAGTCCATACAATAGACAATTTCTGAACCTTGCATTTATGATACTTGGTAAGGCCCTCAGGGGGAATGACTAGGGATACTGTATGCCCAAGCAAGCTTTTGTTGAGTTTATTTAGAAATATCTTTAAAAATTTAATGTAGGCATACACTTAATGAAAAAGGAAAAAAACGTGTTAGGCCGTAAGCACGTCTCCGTGCCATCTGTGAACCCCCCTCCCCAGATGCAGCCAATGTACCTATTTATTTTGTGTCCTTGCAGATACTGATGATTATATGGACATATAGTGTGAAGTATAACCTTAAGTCTTGGTTGGTACACAGATAATTTGCTGAATCTGACACCCCTCCCCCCACAGCTGTTGATATTTAATGCCATGTCGGGACATACAGATCCACCTCAGAGCATTTTGTTAATCAGTAGTGCTATTTGACTTATTTGTAGAAAGGGTGACAGCAGGAAGTTTTAGGGTAGGGCCGTTTATTTTGAGCACAGGTTTCATTCTTTACATGGATGTTTTAAAATCTATTACATTAAAAAAAAATCTGCTGGACCTTTTAAAACTATATATGTGAAAAATGCAAGCAGTTCATAATTGAGGAATGTAAGCATTATGCTTTGTGTCTTCAGTATCTGCTTTCCTCAGCTGTCATCCATGTGAGTGGTGGTCATGTCTCCAGTTTAGTGTGGAAACCTTTCGCACTTTGTAATATTTTATAAAAATGCAGTTAGTCATTTGTTTTTCAGTTTGTTTTTATACCTATTTGCTTTGACACTGTGTCTTTTTTCCCCCTTCCTATCTTCCTTCTTTTAAAAATATATTCCCAGGCTTTAAACTCCAAAGAACCTCATATGTGTTTAGTAAGGGATATTTCAAACAGCTGGGTCCCAAAAGTAGAAACGGCTATAACAAAGGTGAGTGTATTGTGAATTTGAAGTTATAAGACAGATTTGGGTAAATTGGGTTGTTGTATAGCATTTAAACATGTTTAGACTAACTTCATTTATTTTATTCTTTAATATCTTTATGATATTATATGGTTCTACAGATTTTAAGGGTTATGGCTTTAGATCTTAGGATTGTGAATCTTCATTTCTGTACTCTTGACGTGAATGCATGAGTAGGTGATTAGCAGTTGGAAGACCTTTGATTTAGTTCTTCACAGCCCACAGTGCATGAATATCTGGGCAAGGAAATAATGTAGGAAAAGCTACCGATATAAAATTCAATATATACCTTTTCAATCTCAGTTCTTAAAAGAGCATCTCTTAAAAAAGAGGAATACTGTATTTTAAGAGAAATACATCTGCGATGGGGTGGGATTTAATACCACACACAAGAGCATCATCTTAGTGCTCTATTTGACTATATCTTGGTATCCATATGTAGATACCATGTTCAGTGATTGAATGAGGAAAAGAAAGCCAAGTCATGCTATGATGACATCCGTTTGGTTTCGCTTCTGGCTGAGTTTCAGAGATGACACCTTTCTCTTGGCTGTCTGAGCATTTCTGGCAAAGATCAAATTCTGGAGGTGGTCATAAAAGTGTGAAAATTCACTCTTTAACATTTTCAAACTAGCATGTCTTTGGTAATCTGTAAATTTTGTTTCTCCTGGGTTTTATTCCTATATGATGTTGCAAGTTAGAAAACTGTGAACTTTTAGCCTATTATTTATAAAATTATTTGCCCAAATCCAATTAAAATTTATCCTTAATTCATATATTATTTATGTTGAGTTTCTCAATAGAAAATCCTTTAAAAGCTCTTCATTTTCCTATTGACGATATACGAGCTAAGGCCTAATTTCCTTTTTTGTGTCCTGGCTGTTCCTGTTTGTTCCAGGTGAGAACACCGATGATGAATTCTGAAGCAAAAGTTCTGGTGCCAGGGCTACCTGGTCACCACGCAGCTATCAAGCCTCTTCCGCAAGCTGAGGAAGTAGAGAGCAAGAGGAAATTAGGGGGAAATGAGGTAATACTTTGATAATATATTTGAGATTTAAGATTACCTGGGAACATCTAACAAGTGTATTGGGTACAGTCGAACTTGAATGTTTAGAAATTTATTCAGTTGTTGCTGTTACCTTTTCTTTTATTTCCGCATCATAGGTCCTGCAATTCTAAATTGCCACTGTTCTGAGACTCCTTTGACCACTGTTCAACAGAGAAGATAGAATTTGTGTTTATTACAGAGTGTGCTCCCTTGCCCATTTATTAATAGTTGCATAAAATGAAATTGGATAAGTTAAGCCAGGACTTGCTGTGATGACTTCCATTGGGTTTCGCATGTTGCTGAGTTCCAGTGATGCCTCTTTTCTCTTGGCTGTCTGAGCAGTCCTGGCTGATTTTAGTCCCAGTTGGTCTTTAAAAGAAATAGCTGTTATAACTGCTTAACATGCTTATAAGCTTCACCTTTTTCATCAACTCCCCAAACCCTCCTATGGCTGCTATGTTTTTTTTTTTTTTAAATTAATCTTCCCTTCACATTCTTCACTCTTGTCTAAGTATTCTAGACTTTTCGAATTTTATTCTTAGAGAAAGATCGTTTCTTTAGCTGATTTTAAATGTCTTTAGTGGATGGGGGATTGTGGATAACATAGCTGGTCATAAAAATTACTTCTCAGTATGTGATATCTGACTTTGAAAATAAAGTTTCTGCTGTCTTTACCTTGGCCTACATTCAACTCTTTACTTTCTTCCTGTGTGTGTGTGTGTGTGTGTGTGTGTGTGTGTGTGTATGTGCCCATGTTTCATACGTTGTTTAGCCTTGACATGGGCCTTCACTGAAACATCTGTGTTTTATTAGGCATCTAACAAATTTATATTTTGACTTTCTGGCTAGGAGGCTGGTAGAACACAGTTTGTAATCCTTTCTTTAATCAGCCATCAGTTCTATAAAATTCAGTTTTTGTACAGCAAGTTGCTGTACATATTTATGTAATTTTAAAATATTGTTGCAAATTGTAACATGTTTACAGTTTTAATTTTAAATATTTGTCAAGTACACTTGTTTGTCATATAGCATACTCTTGCTAATAAATAACATAAAATTGCATAAATTAAGCCAAGAGTTGCTGTGATTAAAACTTAAGAATAAAAAAATAGAAAAATATTTTACAGATAGCTTTGGGTCTGTAATTGTCTTTAGCTCTTTGATAATACTGTTTCCTTTTGCAGATCTGAGGTTGATGGAAGGGATAGTTCTAATCTCTTTCCTTGTACTTTAGTCGAACGCCAGGGCCTTGCCTTGCCGTTTCATCCTATAGGGGGATTTTGATGAGTGACTTTTTTCTTTTTCTGGGTTTATTACAAGGTGCTTGTGAGTGAGAGAGAATAACTGAATTTGTGTTTGTCAGATTGAGATGCAAATCAGTCTTTGTTTTTTGTGCACACTACTGTAGGTCTTATCTGGTTAACATCAATAGATATTTCTGTTCTGTAGGTTAGCATTGAAGAACGCCTGGGAGCAATGGATATAGAGACAAAGAAAGAAAAGGATGACCTCCTACAGACCAATAGCTTTCCAGTTCATAAATTAAGCCAAGAGTTGCTGTGATTAAAACTTAAGAATAAAAAAATAGAAAAATATTTTACAGATAGCTTTGGGTCTGTAATTGTCTTTAGCTCTTTGATAATACTGTTTCCTTTTGCAGATCTGAGGTTGATGGAAGGGATAGTTCTAATCTCTTTCCTTGTACTTTAGTCGAACGCCAGGGCCTTGCCTTGCCGTTTCATCCTATAGGGGGATTTTGATGAGTGACTTTTTTCTTTTTCTGGGTTTATTACAAGGTGCTTGTGAGTGAGAGAGAATAACTGAATTTGTGTTTGTCAGATTGAGATGCAAATCAGTCTTTGTTTTTTGTGCACACTACTGTAGGTCTTATCTGGTTAACATCAATAGATATTTCTGTTCTGTAGGTTAGCATTGAAGAACGCCTGGGAGCAATGGATATAGAGACAAAGAAAGAAAAGGATGACCTCCTACAGACCAATAGCTTTCCAGTTCTTCTTGCACAAGGTTTAGAAAGTAATGATTTTGAAATGCTAAATGTAAGTATTTTAGTAGTTTTTTAAATTTAAATTAAGACGGTTTATTTCCTATAAAGTGATTGTCACAGCACACTCACAGGGAATAGTTATGTTAGATAGCCATTTGGAATGCTTTATGACTTGAGTCAAATGTGTATCACTTGGTGGCTTTATGCACACAGTCACCAACCTACAGAAGGGATTGTGTTGAATTTTTTTGAACCTGGAATGCATTTTCTCATAGAAATATTGTTCTGAACTGTTAGGTTCATAGGCTTTAGTTCATAAAAAGCCTTTATAAGCATAATGTAGCTGAACTATAATACTCAGCATTCTAGATCACAATTTATATTTTTTTCTGTAGGAAAATGCGTTCCTGAGTTTTTACTCTGGATTCCAGAAACTTATTTCCCCCTGGCCGTGAGAGGGGGCAGTGAGGTGGAACCTTGGCAATGGGTAGGAGGTTTGGGGGAAAAATTTAAGAGGGTTGGGGGTTATATTGTAAAATATTTAGAAGTAAAAGTTCCAGAAACTTTGTATAGAGGGAGGCATTTATGATTTCTTTGTAAGTTGGTGACTGTTCGTATGAAGTTACTCAGTTTGTCCTCTTAAATTTTACAATTTTATAGTGGTCTGTATAGAAAATTTAAGTGCGACATACAGTCAGATTCAACACTGCTTGATTAGATTAAAGCAGTTTGCATTTGTTAAGTGCATTCTTTAATGACTCAGGAATATTGTGGTTTCAGTATTATAAATATGACTTTATAACCTATGGATAGTCTCTGATTTTATGTTACTGAAATGGAAGTATTTTAATTTGTGTCTGAGGAGGTTTCGTAAAATGAAAGAGGGAGCCAGCAACTCTAAAAACCTAAAATTATAATTTTTTTCTTTTTTTACTTGCCAGAGGGTATGGTACATTGCCCAGAGAAAGACAGAGAAACATAGAGGGAGAGAGCACTCCTCAGTGGGTCATGCCACAATCCCGTCTTCATTTTTCCTCTAACCACTGTCTTTTTAGTCTCCTATTAGGTCCTTTTTAAAAAAAAATTTAGAATTATTTTATTTAACTTTATTTAGTTAATTAGTTTAATTTGACCAGAGCGGGACAGAGAGTGAGTGAGTGAGTGAGTGAGTAAGTGAGAAAGCAAGCCACCAGTCCCGGACTCGAACTGCTGTTGGCCATGTAGGAGTCCAGCCCTTAACCACCATGCCACCTGCCCCACCCCCTCTGCTATGTCCTTAGTCCTTCCTTGTGTTTCTGAACCAAGCTTTTGGTATAAATACTGAATGACAACATTTCAGGATTTTGTTCCTTGACCTGAAGCCCTGCAACTAGGGTTGCTTGGCTGTTTATGAAAATGAAGCCTAGAGGTTTGGGTGAAAAATCAAAGCTTATCATATTTCAGGAAATAATTTGTAAATGAGTTCATATAGAATGTTTCCTATAGTTTTCTAGATCACTACAACTTTACAATAACCAATATTTGTTATGAAGAAGTTATTCAGGAACTTAGTATCATTAAGCACCTTCTGAGTTATTTTTGAAGTTATAATCAGCACATTTTGCTTTGAATCTTGTATGCTGGTTATTTGAAAATGAAAATTTAGGTTAATTGAGACTTAAATTAGGATAGTCCATCCTTAGTTCCCTAGTGATTATGTATAAAATACTTATTTCTCTTGTATAAGACATTATGTAATTATGCTAATGATAGTGTTTAGATAGTATTTGATAGTTTTAAATGGTATTAAATATATTCGATGGTTTACAAGGACTTGTTATAAAGGTAGCTTTCATGTAAATAAAATCCTAAGAAAATTCTGAAAGGCTATGCTAGAACTGTTAAAATAGGTTCAAAGCCAACTTTCTGTAGTTTTGCCCTTTGGTACCTCTGCCATTTATATTCTGACGATGACTTTTATAGCAACAACCACCCCCAAGACATACATACACCTTAGGGAAGATCCTTTAGGAATGAAGGAATGAATCTTTTTAATTTTATTTGTTTACTTTTTAAATAATTATTTTATTTCATTTTACTTATTTCTTGATACCTAAAGACTGAACTTATCTGGTTCCTACATACATAACATTCTTTTTAGTTTTTGCTATAGGGTCTTGCGCTTGCCAGAGAGAGACAGGGAGGTGATAAAGCAACCCCCAGGGCGGATAACCATGCCATAATCCCGTCTCCTTCAGTCCCCTCTCAGGATTTTGGGCATGCACGCACATGTGCCCAGCATGATCTTCAAGTGCTGGGTCCAGCACTCAAACCGCACAACTGGCCATGTGGGATTCAGCCTGCTTAATCCTGACATAACATTCTTTATTCAGCCCCTCCGATGTTTATTTTTTATTTGCTGAATTCAGTTGGTCCTTTCTTACTACGGTCTTTTAAAAGTAATTTTACAGATTTTCCTGTAGTGTCCTTAGCTGGTGAATATGCTGATCTTAATAATCCTTTTATTTTCACACAGAAAGTACTGCAAACTAGGAATACAAACCTAATAAAGAGGACTGTGTTAAGGATGCCCCTGCATGCTGTTATTCCATTGTTGCAAGAGGTAACCGACTACTCTTATTTCATTTTAAGGTCCTAATATTGTGAATTAAAGGAAAAATCATTATTTAGAGAAAACAATTTGAAATATATAAGGGCACATGGCACTTAGAGTGAATGATAAATGTTTAGCTTTTTTTTTTTTACAGAAAATAAATGGTTGAATTCCTAAGGCAGCGAAAGGAAATGTAATGGCTAGTGCCTGTTTACCTGGAAGGCGGATGGGGTTTTAAAGTAACAGTAGAATGCTGTAGGTAGAGGTTACTGTCTGCATGGAGATGGTTGTTATGGACATCCCAGCCTAGAGCCCCAGGATTTTCATTTTTGTTTTTTCCATTATGGCTTATTAGGTTATTTTAATCCAACATGGAAGTCATTTTTGTACATTCGATTTTCTGTATCACGCATGGGCTGTTAAGTTCTGTGCCTGCCTGTGTGGAATTGGAGAGGACACTAAGCATCTTAGTCTAGCCTTGGTCTGTGCAGAAGTTGCTTTCACTGTTGCGGACAGTGGTTGTCTTGTCTTTGCTTAACGAATTCTGTTGAACAGGGTTCAGAAAGGGGTTGGGTTGGTAGCAGCTAGACTAGACGCGGGCCGTGGGTTGCTGGGTATGGGGTAGCCTGTGCTCATTGCTTACGGCCTAGGGATGGCCCCAAAGGATAGGTAACTCCAACCTAGTCAGATTCTGGTTGCTAACGAAAGGCCAGTTGCCCAAAGTCGTCATGTGTTGAATACAAATGATTTTGTAATTTTTTCTTACCTTAAGGAAAATCTTTGTTTTGTTGTAAAATTATGCGTAATTTTACAGATGCTTACCCTGAAAGAGTGGGTACAAATTGGGAAAAATTAGGCCTAAAGATAAAATGCATTCTTTGTAATTAGAAATTATACTTTAATTACATTTGTTTTACATGCTATAGTGTTGCAAAGTGATAGTAGTTTTGTTCTAAATAGTGGAGGCTGGTTTACTGTTATTGGTAGGGGAAAACTATATTTAAAAAAGAGCTTTCAGGGACCAGCAGTTTATGTAATGGTTATGTCGCTGGACTTCCATGTAGTCAAGTGTGGTTCGAGTCCCAGACCCGGTGGCTTAAACTCATGCTGGGCGCTTGTACACGTTTGCCTAAGGTCTCGAGAGGAGAATGGAGGAGAAAGGATTGCGGTGTGGCCAGCTCCTCTAGGGGGTGATTTCTTGTTTTTTGTCTGTCTCTTTCTGGCAAGCGCACGCGCCTTATAGCAAAAACCTCTCAAAAAAAAAAAAAAAGAGCTTTCATATATTAGACAAATCCAGTTACATTTTTAAAAAGAATACTATTTACTTTAGGGTCAGCTGGTGGTATGATAGTTAAGGCGCAGGACTCCCGTGTGGCTGACAGTGGTTTGGGTCCTGGATTGGGAGTCTTGAAACTCAAGCCGGGCACGTGTGTGTGCATGTCTAGGGTACTGAGAGGAGAACAGATGGGAAGGGATTGTGGCGTGGTTATCCTTCCTGGGAAGTGACTTCTTGCTTTCTGTCTTTGTCGCTCCAGCAAGCGCATGCACCCTATAGCAAAAATCTCTCAAAAATGTGTGTATACACACACACACACACCTGTATGTTTGTATGCATGTATATCTACTGTAAAAGTTTGCCTAACCTTGATATATTTTTCCTTTGTATTTTTAAAAATTGAGGTGCAATTCAGGTAACCTTAAAATAAACCCTTTTAAGTATATAATTCAGCACTTTTTAGTATGATTACAGGATGCATTTATCATCCCCAAAAGAAATCCTACATTCTCCCGTCTCCCTCTACTTAGTTTCTTGCTGTCACTAACCTATTTTTTGCCCATGGAGTTGTTGTATTCTGGACATTCATTCATACACATCCTAGCCTAAGAGAATTACTCTTACTTTGTGAATGTATTCAGACAGTATATTGTTTGGTTGAAAATAGACCACTAGGTGGAAAAGTGATTTCCTGATAAAGTCATCGTGTCATGAGAATTGAAGTTTGCTAATCTGTGAAATGCTCTTGCTAACAATTTTTTTCCCTCCCCTTTAGCTTACAAAGAGGTTGCAAGGACACCCTAATAGGTAAGATTTTTTTGTAGGTGACTTAAATTGCTTTGTTTTTATAAATAGATTCAAAGTGATTATAAGCA